TTGAAGACAATTAAAACAAGTCCACGAGAGCCAAAATATGATCTTGAAAATATCCCTCCTGAATTTAGAGACCATCTAAACAATAGATTTGATGCACTGAACACCAATGACTGAAAACCAGAAGAATTGTGGGATTAGATCAAGAACATCATCCATGAAGAAAGCCAAGAGGTCATTAAAAAGAGAAAAGAAGAAAAGACCAAAATGGATGTCAGGAGAGACTCTGAAACTTGCCCTTGAATGGACAGTAGCTAAAGTAAATGGAAGAAATGACAAGATAAAAGAGCTGAATGGAAGATTTCAAAGGGCAGCTCGAGCAGACAAAGCCAATCACTATAACAAAATGTGCAAAGACCTGGAGTTGGAAAAACAAAAGGGAAGAACATACTCAACATGTCTCAACCTGAAAGAACTGAGGAAAAAATTTAAGCATCGGGTTGCAATATTCAAAGATTCCATGGGGAAAATATTGAATGATGCAGGAAGCATCCAAAGAAGATGGGAGTTCCGGTAAGATAGTGGAATAGGCAGAAAGACTTGTGCAGTCTCTTTAACAAAGAAAAGGGGAACCAATTAACACAGATACAGAAGATAATCCTGGACCCCGGGACTTTGAAGGGAAGGATATAGAAGTGAACTAAACTCCAACTAGCAGAAGAATTTGCATGAATACACCAAAAAAGGAGACAGACAGAGCTGAGGTCTGGCAGCAATCCTGATGGCACAAGCAGCTTGGAGAGTGCCAAGTAGTGGTAAGACCTAAGAATTAACCTAAAAATCAGCCCTGCTAGCCAGGGACTGCATGAAGGACTGCTCTGGTGGCTGGGGAGTAAAAGGTGAAGAAGCGAAGAGGAAAGCGAGCTGAGCTGTAGACTTTTGCCAGGCCAGAGGGCACATCCATTTTGAATGTTTACAAGCAACTTGACCATCGTGGATATTTAAACTGACAGTGTTCTCCCAGATTCCAGGGACTTAAGAACAGAATCCGCTTGCTGGGAACTGCAAGGACATTTCAGACCCACGGACTACTGGAAAGGTGCGACATTCCCTTGGTTACTCTTGTATCTCACACCCTCTTGGTGAATGGAGGTGTGGCCATCCCTCACTCCCACCTACCTTCTAGGCTGGCAGGAATTCATCCCAGTCTGTGTGCTCCAACAGAGCCTGGGTGCCCTGCCCCGCCCTGTCCAGATATTTTTTCTTTTTCTTTGTTCTGTTTTTTAGTTTGTTTTTCTCTGATTTAAAACTACTACTACTATTATTACTTTCGTCCTTTTTATTACATTTTTTATCCTTCCCTTCCCAGGTTCTAGTTTTCAGCTTTTTTCCTTTTCCCTGATCCAGGTTCCAATTTTGTTTTTTCTTTCTTGTGGATAATCATGTTCTTGTTTTTCTTTTCTCAATTTTCACATTTTTTCTTCAATATTCTCCTTTTCTACATTTTTTTCCTCTTACTGCCCTTTCTCCAGATATTGTGGTATTCTTTGTTTTGTTTGGTTTTTATTTTTTTCCCTTTTCTCTTTTTTAGCTACTGTTCCGGTATGATTACATGGTTTCTTTTTGTCCATTGGCTTTTACTTTTTTGATGGTTATTCAATTGCTATTTTTGTCTAAGTAGGAAACAACAACAGTCCCCATACGACACAATTACACACACATTTCTTGCAGCTTCACTTACTGAGAGTCACCACCTCCTTCTCCACCAATGGGCCTATGATAAACAACCACTAAGATGAACCTGACTCACCCTTAGCTGCTCTTTACAAACAGGTAACAAAGATCTAAATACAACAACATCACAATGTCT